AATGCGTATATTTGATACGTTAGAGAGTCAGAAGATATATTGTTTTGTCGAATTTATTCTGCTCGTCAAGATGAATTCTTCTCTTGTAGAGTAGTTTTTTAACAACTTCTTGTTGATCCTTAGCGTTAGCCAAAGAAAAACCTCTATCTGTTATAATCTTCAAAACGAATACATATCTACAATATTCAGTTTTTTGAAAGCTCTTTCCATTGATACCATTTACAATTGAAGGATACCGAAAATGTCCAAGAAATTTTTGTTGTTGGACATTTTATGTTTGATACTACTTTTCTGGTATCAAATGGCGATGACTTATTTGTAGAAAACTTGCATAATAATAATGCCAAATACATATGCTTACAGTTAGAAACAAGTGAAGCATAAAATATTGTGGAACTATTGTCGAGTGTTCCAAAATCTTTTGCAAGGACTATATTTTAAAAAATATCTATTCTATTACAAAAAAACAAAAAATACAACATAGAAATAAAAATGAAAAGGAATCGAGCTAAAAAAAATTTCATGTTGTTGTTTTTTTGTGTTCATTTTTCGTATTGAACGTGTGCTGTCTCAAAACGCATGGCATGGTGAGCAGTATCCATTAAAAGTAAATTAATATCTGGCGTTGGTAAAACATTCTCGTGTGCTAATGCTACACGACGAGGAAAAAATATATAATCAAGCTATATTAAAATGAAATATAAAAATAAAAGTAGAATGAAATAAATAAGAATTTTGTTCTTACTGGATAACTGAGAAAATTACAAACATTCGATGTATAAACATCAGCAAAACGAGCTAAACGTCGATGAAAATATGTCGGTACTGTATGTGTACGAAAGACAGAACCAAAATATGGATTAAATAAATCACGAGATTTTGCTCTTGAACAAAGAAAAAAAACAACAAAGTATTAAAAGAAGAGAAATTTTTTTTCGCATAGTTTTTACTTTTCGTCTTCCCGTTCAGCAACCCAAGTTTTCATTAAAGCATCGGCTTCAGGACCCGGAATGATCTTAAATATCAAACAAAAAACGATATTCAATTTTTTTAATATAAATCATGTCTTTCAAGAATAATGTTCACGAGATAATGATATTTTCTATATCTTAGGTAAATCATAGTCCTGCTCCATGAGAGCTTACATTATCCTGATGTTTAGATTATGACACCAGCAAATGTGAATCAATGGAGAGCGGATTGGTGCTTGCAATTAGAATTTATTATTGTATACAGACATCCAAAATATCAGCTTAATATTATAAAGAATAGTAGTACTTCATGGACGGCAGATACTTCTGTCCAGGACTGTAAATTACTCGAGTCTATTTAATACGATAAAACTCATGTTTGTATTCCTCAACTTTTCCAAATGTGACATTGCAGAAAATGCAAAACGCAGCATGTTAAAAAAAACTTCTCGGACATTATGTTTAAGGGATTCCCTAAGCTACCAATTGGCAAACAAAAGCATTTTGTATCATTACTCTGTCTTCAAGATATACAGCTTACAACAGAGAAAACTATGACATTATTATTAGAAGGACCTCTTTGGTTTTTTTTTAATCGAAAAATTTTTAGACATTTTCACAAAAACATAATACTTGTTAATATTTATGCATAGATAAGTAAACGAATTGCCATTATTCATAAATACAAGTATCATTTCCTGTTATATAAATGTTTGGTGGTGGCATCCGTTCCGTAGCCCATCACCTGTCTCACGCCATCAGTACCCACAACTCCTCACACCCTACTCACAAAAGGTAAAAAATAGAATTTTTCATGTCGCTACCTCTTTCTAATGGCAACTGAAGTTACCAAATTATCTTGCATACAGGAAAGCACACCTGGTCGACCTGCTTAAACTATTGGCTTACTGAAGAGGCCAATACTCTGTTTAATAGTTGTTTTATTTGTGACCCTTGTAGAATTGTTATCGGAGGTAAAGGATTAAGATTTTTATTTTTATTTTGAAATTAAAATAATCTTACTTGTAAGTGATTAATAAGCCATTGAAGAACATTTAACTAATAAAATAATTAAAAAGAAAATATTATTATTACTTTTTTTGTTTAAAATCATTTTTACCCATTGAATTGTTTTCTGAAATGATTCAGAATTAATTATATTTATTTCCTCCTTCAATAAAAACACACAATTCTCAATTTTTCGCATAATTTTATACAAAATTCCTCACTTCAACTTCTTCTAGAATAGCGCCTGTTCTCCATCCATATTTAAGAAATAAATCCTAATAATAAACAACTCAATATCATTCACACATATATATATATATATGAAATAACTTACTGCTAAATCTCCATAAATATGATCACCAATATAAAGAACATCATTTCCTTTCCAATGTGTCATTTCTATAAGATCTGCGAGATTACCCTTATAATAAATTGAACGTTGAACACAAAAAAAAATTGTTTTTTTTTATATCAATAATTTACTTCAACATAAACTTTTCCATGTTCTAATTTATTTACTCGATTCCATGATTTAGAATTATTATCTACATCTATCTCTCGAAATGGTCTAAATCAAAAAAAAAATAAACATTTCGTTTTCTTTTTTATTCAATATAAAATTAATTTCAACCTTTGTTCTGCACCAAAAAATGATGGTTTTCTAGCTTGACATATAATAACATCAAAAAAATCACGCCAATTTTCTCCAAGTAAATAAGTCATACCACGATTGACATACCAATAAGCACTATTTGTTATTAAAAATATTTGTTTATTTGCATCATGAAGACGTTGTAGAAATGATTTTAAACGATTATTTTCTTCAAAATAAGTTTCTATTTTTAATTAATTTCAAATAATATTTATTCATATATTCATTTTAATATATAACTTACTAACATCTTTCCCAACTATTTGATGCATCATTCCACTTATATGAAAAGCAGTAACTGCTTCCTAACAAAAAAGAAATAATCTAAATTATTTTATTTTTTTAATTTTTGTTTATTAAACAAACTGTAACATCATAAAATACATATTCCGAACCAAATGGAATATTATTGTCAATAAAATACTAAAGTAAAAATCTTAATTTAAATAAAAAAAAAAAAAAAAATTTCCTTCATAGTACTTGAGTAACATCACGTAAAAGTGTTATTTCAGGAATTGAAAATATATCAACAAATTGAAACATATTCGATGTTTTCCCTAAATAACCAACAATATCAATTGATAATTTTGTACCATTATGTGCAGCTATTACTTCTTCAGCCGAAATTGCATTCATACCACTTTCAAGAAAAACCAAGATATTATCAAAAAAAGAAAAACATTTTATTAAAGATTTACCGATAAACAGTGCCTAATTGAATATTATGATAACTATCAAGTTTCATTAACCATCCACGTTTTATATCTAAATGAAGACCACGTGCACCCATACCAGGTCGAAAACAAAAATTCATTAAATCATCTGGATACTTTGGAAAAAAAGAATTTATCTCTTTGTCTTTTTTAGTTATAGAAATAATAATGAATCTTACTTTTAAATTCTTAACAAGAAATTCTTTAGCATGATCATAAATTAATGAATGTAATGATGATTTATAACGTGCTAATGTATAATCTATAGAAAAAAAAAACCCGAAAGAGTAAACATTATTTATTTTGATAAATTAGAATTACAAACCAAAATCAAAACCATAAACTTGTATTTTTTGTAAATTTAATTCATTATTAGAAAATATTCCATTTGGATCCATTTTTTTAGAAAGACTATGTGTTTTACCTAATTCAAAGAAAAAAAAATCAATTAAATAAAATCAATAAAAACTAAAAACTTTACTTAAAGATTCATGTTTTAATAAATCATAAAGTCGTTGTAATTCTTCTAATTGATATATTTCAGTATATATTCGTCGCTGTTGAATGAATATTTTTGAGATTCCTTGAGCATATTGAGTTCGATGGAAAAGCATTATAACAAAATATGTACAAAACTAAGATTTATGGACGTTGTACTTGAATACCCTCATTCTCAACCATTCAGGCAACGTATTCAACGAAGCCATCTAGCTTGGTGATTATAATACAACCAGTTCACATGCCGATCGACAGAGGTCTATAGAATGCAATTCTGTTTTGGATGATTTATATATGGATATATATTATTTTTCTGCTTGATTTATTCAGGTAAAAAATGAAAAACACTAATTTAACAGGTGTATACTGGAGAACAATAATGATATTATCTATTTGCATAAGCATATAATAATGTTTTTGATCGTTTTAATATCGGTTCACTTTCCATAACAGCAATAAATTCTTGTAAACTAACTCGAAGAATTCTTGTTGGCATTATGTTTCGATTATTATTTGATAATTTTTGTCGTTTTAAACGACTTTCACGTAAAACAAGACATGCTGTTTCATCAGCTTCTTTTTGCCTTAATTGTTCAATAATTGATGAACGATAATCGCGTATTCGTGTTCGTTTTTGTTCTTCATCAATTATATTAATTGATTCGAATTTTCGTTGAAATATACTATTATTAAGATTATTATTTAATTCACCATTTTGTACTTTATTTAATTCAAATAAAAAACGTATTTGTTCACGTACATTACTTGTCATTTCATATATAGTTGAATCTAATAATCGTGTATCAATTCGATGTTGAGTAAAAAAAAGTAGACGTCGAATAATATATTTAAGAAATGTATATAATGTTTGTAGAAATAAATGTTCACCACATTCATTTAAATAAAAATTATGTCGAGCAAAACGATTAATTAATTTTTGTTCATATGGATTTGCATCTGCTCGTATGTTAGGTGTAATAAATATTTGTTCTTGTATTGAACGAGTTGATAATGATGATGTAAGATCAATGAATTGTGGACATGATGGTGGAAGACGAAAACAAGCTTGTTGTAATGATGGAAGTCGAGTCATATTAGGCGTATTAGAATTAGTATCCTAAACATAGAAAATTCATATTTATAAATTTTTCTTTCTATTTAAAACCAAAACAAAAAGCCTGCAGATAGTGATGTTTGTAATGTAATCGTTTTAAATGTTTCCCATGAAAGTGGATCATATTGATGTTGTTGTAAATATTGATGTGCAAGTGGAATTGCTTCGATAAGAAAGAAACTTAAACTACTTTTAATAGTAACATTTAATATTCGTTGTACATCTTGAATAAACGTTTCAACTGAACATGTATTATTGAAAAGACATCGAACACATTCTTCAACGTTTGCTGTTAAATCAATTAATGATCTAGTATTATTATTATTATTATTATCATTATTTATTTGTGTTGTTGAACGTAATTGATTTGGTTCACCTAATTTAATAAGACGTAAAAGACGTTGTCGTAATTTCGATATCATTTCAAGATGATTTGTAGTCTCCATCGAATGAAAATATTCGATTAATTTGATTTAATTATCGAATCAAGATCAAAATCAGTCAGCTATGATCTCACATACTTTAATTAACATCACTCCTATAGAAAATAACAAATGGCGCATAATCAATGGGTCAAAATATTTTCCTCGTTTTTGAACACTTCCCAATGCTTTGAAAGCTTCATTTTTGGCTCGTTCGATAGAGAATTTCTTGCTCTATAAAATAACTGTATCTTTGTTTTACAAATCCATGCCGTAGGTTAAAAATTCAGTAAAACGACTATAATTTTGCACTAGCAGATCATGAGCACGAACGCTTCACGGGTTTTCTTAGTCTTACTGAGGCCTACCTATAGCCAAAGTATGAAACTAAAAACTCGGAATCATTTAGGGTAGTTTTCTCGTCAGTAGAATCATATGGATCATCAACTTTATCGGATTATTTTTTTGTTCTCAGTAACTGAAAACAACGACTATGTAGGAAAGGATAGTGAGATAACCAATGAATATAACAGCCTTTGTTAGATATCATTATAGAGACATAAATAAATTAATATATTTCTTTATTGGAGTCTGAAATAATCCGTAGATCGTTCGTTTTATTATTACATAGAACATAGTCATGTGAGCAGCGTTTCCAATAGAAATCTGAAACACAGTATATTTGAGTATTCGTTTCGATTGACAAAGTATTTACTGGTACTTTGTCCTAAATATCAAAGTACCTCAAAGTATCACAACATAGGTTTGCTTAATAAAAGTCAAAGAACCAGTTAATTAAATATGCATACATGGAATAAGATCATGCTCTTCGATTAGGGAGGGCTGAGAGTCTAACTTCTACCACAAATCAAAACTACACCCGGCTTCTGGGAAATTTTCAAACACTTTCTACCAAATTTTTGAAAACTTCATAGCAAATTCTAGTAGAAAGCCGAATAAAAACATTTTCTGTCAATAAAATCGCGCAGAAAGTTAATTTATTTAGTATTCTTTGTTCGATTTCTGCTAATGAAGTGAGATAAGACACTTTCTACCAAAATTTTCAGACTTTTCGAAATTTTAGCCCCTTCCACTTTTCAAAAAATAATCGGGAATCATGAATTAGATCTAAATATATGATAAGAAGAAATGAAGAAAGTATTAGAAAAAATAATATTGAAAATCTGAAAAGATAAAAAGAAATTTCAATGTTAAATTCAATGAGATTAAACGAAAATTTCTTTTTGCTCCATCTCATCTACCGATATAATCAATAAACAATAGGAAGATGAGTAACTTCTAAATAATAGTGTAAGAAATAAGCAAAGTGCTTTCTTATTTTACAAAGTACCATCAAGGTACTGTGTGTTTTCCAGCAAAGTGCAAAACACAGTGCTTTTTCAAAATCGTAAGTACCTCAGGTACTTTGCAATAAAACTTTCGATATTAACTATTTCATAAAATTTTAAACACGATGATCAGAATTTCTGATCAGCCCTTAGTATCATCTCGAGATATGAGCCTCTGACATAGTTCGAATGAGTTTCTAGCGACTCACCATTCTGTAGAACATCGTAACACCAAGTACAGAGTTTGTCACAGCAAAAAATAGGCAAAGTACGAAGGCCGAATGCGTACGCGACCGACCATATAAATGCTGTGCTTCGTACTGCATTAATTAGAACGCCATTTTCTAAGACATTGAATTTTTCATTCTTTTTCTCCCCCTAAAGAGTAATAATTGAAAAAAAAAGGGCAATGTCGTGCTCTACGTCCTGACAGGCTCCTTCAAACAAAAAAAAATTAAGTTCGTAGAATGAAGGCCCATAGAGAATTTTGGGTTGGCAAATAAACTATTTTTGACCCTCGTTTGTTGAATATCTCCCAAAAACATCATGGTATAGGGCTGAAAATTTTATGCGATTTGAATATGCCTGGGCCAAGATCAATTTTTGAGAAGAGAGCTTGATATGAATACAAGAAAAACAAAGCAAGGAAATTCAGTTGAGATGCACTGTAATATATCAGAACTAGAGTCTTTCTTTCTTTTTATTATTTTATATTAAAATAATCCAGAAATGAATTCATTCATTGACTAATAGCCTTCATTAGATTATCACATGATGACCTGATTTGTATCATTACGATTCTAAATGACTCTTCTTTCGATTGATCATCTGTTTGATTTATACTGAATGATACCTAGAAGTATAAGCCAATGCATCGATCGGCCGCGGCAGAAATTTTTCAATGAATTCTTTTAAAAAAATTTCTTAATTTCGAGAAACTTTGAACTGAAAAAGAGAGAAAATAGTGGTAGAGTACTTATTGACAACGAACCAACTAGTACATCTCGAAAAACTGATTTGGAATGTCGGAAGTTTTTCACACGCAAATATCTATTTTTGTATGACAACTTAACTAATTAGCTTACAATTCAATGCATGTTGTGATTTGGCAAGCAAATGAGTAATAGACGACTACATGTAAGACTTTCTCACTTCGTTGACTATATAGATATGTGTGCACATAGGACGCTACGTGTAACTTATTTGATATATATATTCGTAGTATAAAATTGATGCTAAACATTTTTCATTAGAATAAAAAGCAGTTGAAATTTTATTCACGTATGTCAAAGTACATCAAAAGTTTAGAAACATTTTTTTATTTTTCAAAATAAACAAACAAATAATAATCAAGAGATATTTAAGTTTTTTCACTGTTACTATTTACTTTTCAGATGATGTTGATTTCTGGATCTATTTCCAACTCATCTCTGATTGACATTTAAGATAGATTGTCCTATTTTAATTGGTTCCAAATTCGATCCTAATTAATCTTTCAATTAATATCAATGCAGATAACAATTTAAATTTACAAGCTATTCTAGTATCGATCTAATAGATTAATGAAAAACTGATCGACCTATTTCAAACATTCGCAAGAGGATGGTTCGACAAGATCTAAGTAACCATCAAGTCTAGTCATACAGTAAAAACTTCTTTCGTCTTTGTTCGTTGTTGATTACTATTTTTTTTTTCGATTTGTTCATTTGATTCAATTCGATTGTAAAGTACATATTTTTTTTCTTATCGTTTCCAATTTTTAAATTATTTTTCTGTATCAATTTTATTTCGTTGAATTAAACGAGATTTAATTGATGAGTGACACATTAAATAACCATTTTATAGTTTCTGTAACAATACATGCAACATCTTCATTTTCAAATTCCATATAAGAATAACCACGACTATCATGAGTCTTTTTCAACCAATTGACTTTAAGCGTATTATGACAGTAAATTGAGGAAAAGTATGAAAACAAGTTCACGTTCAAAAAATTCATATGATAAGTCAGATAAACATCTTAAATCTGGTTGAACGATGATAATCTTTTTTTTTATTTTACGTTTCCTACACTCTCAGTTATAGATGGTAAAGAAAGTGTTTCTTTTTCTTTTTGTTCATTATCTGTATTATGATTTTTAGCATCAATATGGCGATCATTATCCCTAATAGAGTTTATTAGAAAAAAATAAGATCTAACATATAAATAAATTTTGTTTAACCCTGGATTATCAGTATATTTTAACTAAAAAACAAAATCATGCAAAAATAAAATTAGATTATTGAAGATATCGTCATTGAAAGAATGAATAATAAATAACGAATTAACCATGAATAAATTATCACAACGATGAAAGAAAAACTATATCTAATTTAATCATTTTTTCCTTGATTGTTGTTGAGCAAAACGTTGATATTCAGCTTCAGTTAATTCAATATCAAGTTTAGAAATTGTACTCATTAAACTATCACGTTCACTACGTAAAACACGTATTTCTGTTTTATGAGTATTTAATTCAGAATGAAGTCGTTCATTTTCAAGACGAAATATTTCTAATTGTTGTAATTTTTCATTTATATCATCATTAGAATTTGATTGTGGCAATGATGGAGTTATTTGCTTTTTATCATCTAAATTAAGAATTTCAAGTTTACTGATAAATTTTCAAGGAAAATAAACTTTTATAAGACAATTTATTAAGATATTCTTAGGAAATCGTATTATCGATTTTTTTGTAAAAGTAAATAGCTTTTTCGAATAGTAAGATACAGTTTTGTAAGTAAATTTCAAAAGTTTTACAGAGCTCAATTATGAAATCCAAAAAGTAGATTCCCAAGTTTGATTTTCTCGTTCGAGAAAAGCTTGGTTATCGTGGCTTAGTCATGTTTCTATAAAATTCAGCTATTTTCTTGAAATAAATCTTTCCCGATTGAAAAAGTCGAAACAAATCTAAGTTTATCGTCTTCACTGTTGCATTTCTACTTTAATCAAAGTTCACGAAAGTGATGAAAAAACTTTCTCTGGTGAATTCTAATAGTAAACAAAACTATTCTAGAGTTTGCTTCAAAAGACAGATCTAACAAATTTTCAATATATTGATTATCTATTTAATGAATAATCTTCAACAAAATTGCTTATTTCTTACCATTATCATTCGTCTTTCGAACAATCACTTTGCCATCCATTTGTCGAAGAATATGCATACATTCGATAATTACTTCGATTGGTGGTTTTACGTCAACAACAGTTTGTGCTGTTGAAAGTTCATGAAGGGGCTTAAAGAAAAAGAAAAGCTAATAACTAACGAGGAAATTTTGCATAGAGACAGGTCTTAACGAGAGTAGTTTCAGATCTTTTGATTATCTTCTATCATGGAATAAGAACATCAAATCTGTCGATTTATCTGAGTGATGAAAAATCTGCGCTTTTACTATAGTTGTATCTAGAGGTACAAGCCGATGAGTTGATCGACGGCGGCAGAAAGTCTTTAACTTTTTTTAACTTTCGGTGGTAGGGCGGCTGGATCTCTTTAACATCGGCTACGACAACTGAAATTTTAAAAAATTTTTGTGGCGACTCAGCCGTTCGGCTTACACCTCTAGTTGTATCGTAAGAGAGGAATAGTGACACGATCTGCAACATTCACAAAAATCTACTCTCGTTAAGGTCTGTTT